CTATTATGATGCTAGTAATGTGTCAAACCCAGACTTTCTATGCTTGTTACTACTGATCCTGTTTCTCTCTATTTGGGTTTTGTTCTGTTTATATGTATATATTGTTGGTAAATATGAACTTTATCTCATTTAAGTTCATTGCTTCATGCTTGGTGAGATGTTCTCTCATATAGACTTGTAATATTTTCAGAATGTTGTATATTCTTTGGCTTACTACTTGAGCTGTGGATGCTATATATATATATATATATATATATATATATATTACATGTGTGTTTATATGTCTCTCCACACACAGCAATAACATTAAATGGACTTATGGACTGTAATCCCCTAGGTCCGGTAAAATTAGTCACACACAGCAATAACATTAAAAGTTGAATTCATGAGCCATCTATATCTCCTTTCTCCAAGTAGGATCATTACTATTCAGCAAGACCCCAATGACATTTTATGCAATTCTTTTATTAATTATCTGTGTGCCATACCAGATTTTCGACACACCATTAATTTACAATGTTCTTTAAGTCTTCTTTCTTTAAAGTATTTGTTTTGTATTTAGATGTTTCTTTTATTTGATACTAGTAATGTGATATTCACAACGTTAGTTGCTTATTAATTGATATTTAAGTTGTAGAAGATCGCGTGAACATCATTGGATCACATTTGACAGCTACAACAGGATCTCCAACAGGGAAACCATCTCATATTCCATCTCGGACACGCCCACCCATCACAACTCATATTCTAGACGTTGCGCGTGGATGTCCAGCTAACGACGTTGAAGTGCTATTGGAGGCGTGGAAAGGAAGCCAACCACGTCCCCACTTCGGTGTAACTGATAATGGTGGTTGGATTTTCCAAGGATCCTCAGCTACCGATAAAGATGGGCGATCCGGTCAGTTGATGAGCATGGTTGATGCTTTGAACCCAGGAACCTATCGAATAAGCTTCAACACTGGCAAGTATAATCTTGATGGGTTTTTCCCCTTTGTCACCATTGTGTTTGAGATTAGAGAGTCTCAGAAATGGGAACACTTTCATGTTCCTCTGTTGCTTTCTCCATTCTCATTCTCTACTTACCGTGGGAGCTAAACGTTGTTTAGTTATCATTATGTTTAAGCTAAATGAGGTATCTGATCTGCTCCTAATGACTGTACTTTGGTGAAATGTTAAGGTACAATGTTTGTAGTTTCAGCCTTTGTTTCTTTGTACATAAATATTAAGAATGAATAATGTATTTTTTGGATTATAAAATTTTCATTGCACTGTCAAATTATTTATTTTTTTTTTTTTTAAATTTTGAGTCGTCTGTCACTGGAACTGGATGAAAATAGTCCGTCTTTGTTTTGATCTGATCGAGACAAAGACTCTCTTCTTCGTGTGAAAATATAGCCGGACAAAGACAATTTGGTGATGGACAACTATAGTTGTTTGATAGCTATATTTATACTCTTTTCGTCTAATTTTAGGTAAATTTCGTTCTTGTGTAATACAAAATTATAGAGTAATGTGTAAATACATAGAAATTGTGATCTTTTAATATGAGAATCATTCTCCGCTCACTCGGTTTTGAGTTGATATGTGTGTGAATTAGGGCTGAAATGAAAGGGAAGATAGAAATGGGTTTGATATCTAAGATTTCCAAGTGTCATATTTCTCACCATTATTACCAAAAAAAGGAGATGTCTATGTTTTACCTGGAATGCTATGTGAAGCCATTGAAATGCTATGGCTAAGCTAATTGTAGCATCCAAAGTAGCTGGTATAAATTACCACATTTAGAATGCTAGCTACCATTTCATTATTTACATATCTCCATCAAATCAACATTTATTATTATATATTATCATCTCCCTTCTAATCACCAACCGTATACGTAATACCACCCAAAATATAATGAAGGCTATCAAGGAAAAGTTGCATGACATTAGTCCCATGCGCCATGCCAAAGCCCAAGCCAAGGAGGAAGAAAGGGTATTTTTTTTTTAACGGTATAACGTAAGCATTCGAGATCTCGTGAAATAATGAGAAAATTGTAATTTATGCCTCTCCATAATATGTCAATTCTCAATGTCACCCTTGAATTATTAGGGGTATAAATGTTGTCCCTCAATTTTCAAAACAGTACATATATTGCCCTCTCGTAGTGTAAACGTTGCCTCTCAATTTTTAAAACGGTACACATAATGCTCCTCCCATACGGTACGGGAGGGGCAATATATGTACCGTTTTAAAAATTGAGGGGCAACATTTATGGTCAAAGTTACTTTGGATTTCACTACATTTCTTCCCTGCAAATTATTCGGTGGATTCGGGTCCACCTTGTAATGTGAACCTAGGTCCAGATGTTCACAATCTACATATTAATAAATGTTTACAATTTATCTTTTAAAAATTTACAATTTGTATTATGTAATTGATTATCTTGTTTTATATTCACAAGTTTCTTTCAAATATTGCAGTCACACAATATTAACAAATTAAGTATTTACAAATTCCCTTCCACGGATGTTATGTATTTTGACTTAAAAACATAATTTATATTTTAAAATTTTACAATTTTAATATTAAAAATATACAATTTATACGTCATTTAGGACCAGGATCCACTGGTCAATAGTAGCATTGGGTTGAGGGCTTGGAGCTTAAGGCCGAGGAGTCCTCTTTACTCAAATTATGCCGTGGAAACGTGTTCACCATGCTTGGTGAATAGGGTCCCAAACGGCATCGTTTTTACTGAAAAATAAAATAAAATTTAGTTAATGTGTTGTTAACGGCGTTTTGCATTCTATGTTCAGATTATGAATTTAAATTTATTAAATTATAAATTTTCTGTTATGAGAGTATGAATTTACATTTATGTAAAATGGAGAAAAAAATATTTTATTGTTTAATTTTCACTTTTCAGGCAGAGAAAGAGTATATGCAAAAGCAAGAGTGGAAGCAGCTCATGAGAAGAGACACATAGCCAAAGCTGCTGATAAGGTTGTTCAGCATCAAGAAGGCTAGCCAAGCTTTCCCAACCATCTGACGCCGGTGATCACGCCGGCCACCCGCCGTAAGCCACCATTTGTTCCGCCGACGGCAATCCCATCAGCCGGTGATCCCACCACCAATTATCCATGCCGGCCAGGCCCGCCAAGGCTATTGTGAGAATAAAACAAATGGGAAATCTCACACGCATCCCTTTTATGAACTTTGTTTCAAGAATTATTAGAATAAAATAAGTGTAGAAATTAGCCTTTTACAACTTCTCTGTTAACGTTTGACATGTGTAAAATACCTAGTATTAATAAGGCTACCATTATCCCGGCAAATCTCTCCACTTTTAAAAATGGATCTCACTTTTATATCATCTCATTTGCATATCATCTACTATTCACACTATATCTTTACAAATCTAATCAAACTTTTAGAAGTGAGCCCAACATATTAAAATAACATTATTAATTATATTAAAATATTAAAAAATAAAGAAAACAAAATAAAATAAAATAAAAAAGAAAGTACAAAAGCTGCGGCAACTTTTGTCAGGCTTCCAAATTTGCAAGGTGGTGTACTTCCATTTTAAACTCTCAACTTATACTCTCTCTCACATATTCTTGATGTAGACATTTTTCTGTTGACCCACATGATTAAAATAATCAATTTTGATTTGCTACCTTAGAGAATATAAATGAGGGAGTAGAATTTTAGAGTCCATGTAATAGAACTCTTTACAAACCCCATTAATAAAAATAATAAATTAAAATGTTGATGTGGCATAAGCCACATAGATTGCAAAGCCCATATTAGCTGGGATAATCCCAGCCTAAACTTGTACAATATAATTAAATAAATATCTTTCAACTTTTTAATGAGGGAGAAATTCAAACAACTGTGACGAATAAAGTTAAATGTGAAGTAAGTTTGCATTTAATGAGTTAGGTTTGTGAAGAATAACGTCAAATGTGGAGTATGTTTGCATTTAATGAGTTAGATTTGCATTAAATGTTTACAACAAGATCGAATTATAAATCTTTATGCACACAAATCTACGACTAATATTTACTTGGGTTTTGCTATAAATCGATAATTCCTCTACATTGTAAGGTATCACATCCCATTATATATATAGCAAAGCTTAGCATAGCAAAGTATCCTTAGAGATAGAGAGTTATATTTGTAACTCCAGCCTATTATAATATCTTTTTGCCAATAAAGAAAATTCTTTTTCAAAATTGCCTTATTATATATATGATTTATTCTAAATCTTACACTAGAAATATTCACAATATTTCCAGCCAGTCCAAATTACTATTGTAATTAGGTGTTGTAAACTCGTATCAATCCTAACAACACTAGTTCACCGTCACGGACGAATTTCTCTGGAGCAATGAACACCCCATGCATTTGTCATCCATCAAAACATGCAAGAGTGAGTGCAATGAGGAACATTAAAAACCAACACACTTTGATTTCATCTCGAGAGGGGTGACCAAGTTGGCAAGACATGATTATTGTATCAAAGTTTAATTCTTGTCAACATCCTCTCGATCGAGCTTCGTGATTTACTTCTATTGTGTGATTTGAGAGTTATTACATTCTTAGGTAACTTGCACACTCCAATTTAATGTGTGATTTATCTCTCATATGTGGTTTGTAGACTATTATATAGAGGTAATAGAGCGAGATTGTGGAATTTACTCGATGCACACCCTCAATATAATATGATTTTTTAAATCAATTCCTAACATATGGGGTTAAAGTTAATCACTTCAAGAAATAATATTGTAACATAATGTGGAAGCTAAGGAGCATATAGGCATAAGTGATAAGACAAGATCAATTAGAGGAAATTTCAATTCACCAAGATATTTAAATGGGAAACTATTATCAGTCAACAAATTAAAAGAAAGAAGAAAAAGGAGATAATAATGTACAAGAAGAGATTGATGATTAATCACAACACAAACAACATCATTTGATTTATTTAAATAAGGTTATTTATTTAATTAAGCTTGTTTAATTTGACCTAGTATTGAACCCGGTTCGCCGAGTTTCCGGTCCATCCTGCGCTCTCCATAGCCAAATGCAGTGGAAGATTGAAGAATGGAAGCCCCGACGAGGGATCAGCAAATTGGTTGCTAACGCCGCCGCCGTTAGTTGACGGCGGAATCTGGAGAGCCGCCGCCTCGCCGTCATCTAACGGCAGCTTATCATACGCCACGTTTGTGAAGGAAGCAGTGATGACTATCACCGGCCCGGAGGCGATCAAGGCGCCGACGACGTTGCCTCCGACCACTTGGCCTTGACCTCCGGCGAGGTACACCGTCAAACTGGTGGCCTCCGGCGGCGCCGGCGGCGGCAGGAACGATCCGGCCAGGGATAATATCTCAAACCTCCCTTGCAGCGTCACGACGGCGGCGCCGGCCGCCGCCGGCTGCCGCAGCGTCACGTTGTCCACCGCTCCGCTACCGCACAGTATACAAATCCCTCTCTGCCTTTTCCGAGCATAACTCGCCACCGCCTCAAACACGTCGCAACCGCCGCCGACCTCAAAAATATGCGCCCGCAGAGCGTTCGCGCTATCCCGGGCAATGATCACCGGCGGCTTCGGCTTGTTCTTCGACCCCGGCGGCCTCCCCCTCGGCCTACGCACCACGCCATCGCCGCTGGCTTTAGCCTCGCCGGAAAATCGGTTCCGATTAGTCTCGTCTTCTAAATCCCGCCGGCCATGGAGATGAGAAGCATCCATATACAGAACACCAAAAGTAGCTGCAGCTTCAACAACAACAAAAGTAGTAATAGTAAACAGAAAACAAAGTTAAAATAAAGTATGATATTTATATTTATTAATCACCAATAAAATAAAATAAAGATGACAATTAATATAATCTTTTCAAAGTATATTATATTATTATAATTATATATATTATAATGTGAATATATATATTAAAGAAACTGAGGGGGAAGAACACAGAATTCAAACCCTAGAGCGAATAGAAAACTAAAGAGAATCTGAGTGGAGAGAAAAGGGAGAGAGAGAGATGAAAGAGAGAATGGCAGCCATGATTTCCCACAACCATAAGAGCATATATAAATATTAAAATTAAAATAATATTTACAAGTTTGACTCTCAGTGGGGTGATTTTATTGATTTTCTTGATTTGAGTTAATTAGCTATAAGCATCTTAGATAGGGATGTAAATGAGTCGAGCAGTTCGATCAACTTCGAGTTTGAGCTGTCTCATTTTGTGATCGAGCTGAGCTCGTACACGAAATTATAGCCGAGCCGCTCGGTCAACTTCGAGCTCGAGCTCAACTCGAGCCTACCTATTGTTTATCAAGCTTGAGCTCGACTCGACTCGTTTACACCCCTAAATCCTGATTTATCTTCTTGTGATCCTTTGCCGACAAGAATTACAAAACAGAGTTTACCACGTGTCCACGTATACACTATCAATTAGCTAGTGATTACTGATTTTTTTTTTTTGTCATTCAAAAAAATTAAAATAATATAATATAATAATCAGAATAAAATATGGGTTCATAACTCATCAAGAGTTATGAATGGTGTAATTTATTGTTTATTTATGATTATGATTTAATAATATATTATTAGGAGAGTGAAAAAAAAAAAAAAAAAAAAAAAAAAAAAAAGCAACAATGAGAGGTTAAGTACGAGAGGGTTAAGTTGATGTGCTCATCATCATTCTATATATGGGCTCATGCAGTCATGCAAGCATGTGGGATGGAGCATTTAACATGTCATCAACATACCATTTGATGATGATGATGATGATAATTATCCATGCATATATCATAAATTATTCAAGCCCAGTTGAGCAGAGGCTTAGAGAGGTACGGTGAGTCCAATATATTAAAAGATTCTTAGCGTGCTTAAACTGCATGCAAGATGCCAATTACAACAAAGAGATGTCCATTAAAAGGTCGAGATTTAGTTCTAAATAAATCTTAATTTAAAATAATTATGTCCATAATTTGCCTAAGAAATTTCGACAACGTCACACAATATAGTATTATAATCTTAAAATCACAAAACTATCTTAACTAGGTTACTAATTCTGTGCAAATAAGGAAATCGCGTCAAGGGCACCCATAGCTAGATTATTTATCGAACAGTTGGTTTGGTATTTCAAGATCTCAAATTTGACTCTCTGAAAATTATCTATAATCTATATATTGGCCTTTTCTCGGTTCAACTATATTTGAGTAGTGGCTGATGTCATATTTCTCTAAATTTTCATTTTCTCTCCCAAAAAGTTGAATCCTCAGTCCCAAGGGCCCCTAACACTCAGGCCAGACAGAGCATTTTGGAGAATGTAAATCACAGTGACTCACTAGCGCAGTAGGTAAGGCCAAATACCGGTGCACACAAGAGATTTGTCCACTTTGAATATAATCTCTACACTACTCTAAATTTTCATTTCTAGTAGTATAACATCATGCTAGTAACTATAGTTATATATATATATATATATATATATATATATATATATATATATACTATTATATTATATATTATATACTAATAAGAGCCCAAGAGAGTTAGGCCTATAATGGGTAGAAAAAATGGCGGTCACAGATTTTAATCAAATGAATGGCTCAAATTGATTAAAAGATTGATAAGATTTAAATTTTACACTAAAATTTCCTAAAATACCCACACACCGTTACTAATTCCGTTAAAATTTTAAAAATTGCCGTTAGTTCACCGTTAACATACTCATTAATTTCAATAAAAAAAAAAGGTCTTAGGTTCGAACCTCATCCCAATCAAAGTTGGCATAATTAGTACTCTATTTTACTCTTATTAAATTATATAAATAATAATTTAGTAGCTACAACAAAAAATTATAGATATGCATTTCTTTAATTTAGAATTATGTGTCCACAATGCCTTTATTCAAAAAAAATTATTCATTATCAATAAATTAAATAAGAGAAATAATTGTATTAGTTATATTGTCTTTATTTTTCTACAATATAAAAATTCTTTATATTCAAATTTATTAATTGATTATATTCGCTACATTGTCCTTACAGTGTCTTAATTCAGTAAAAAAAAAAATATTCATTATCAATAAATTAATTAAGAGAAATATTTTCATTAGTTATATTGTCTTTATTTTTCTCAAATGTAAAAATTTTTACATTCAAATTCATCAATTGATTATATTCACTACATTGTCTATTATCTTTTTTGTGCACTATTTTTCTAATTAAATATCAAAGTTATAATACAAAATAATGCTATATATTTATTTACCAAGTATTTTATTAATACCATGAAATTAAAAAATTAAAAAAAATATATAATTAATAAAGCCAACCATATTAACTACTTGAGAGATTTTGTGACAAAGAGAGTATTCAAATCACACAACAAATTGAAGTGAGAACTACCTTGCAATGTCCTTGTTTGACAATCAGCAGTTAGCGGATTATATTAGCAGATTTGACCAACGAATTTATTTAATTATTAACATTGGGTAGAAAAAATGACCGCCAAATTATTAAATCAAATGAATGATTCAAATTGTTCAGGTTTTAATTTTTTTTAAAGTTTTTCTAATTTATCCTTAATTATATGATTATCCATTTAACTTTTCCGTTAAATACCGTTAATTCACCGTTAGTCTAATTCTAATATTAACGTCTAATATAGAATTATAATTACACCATTAATCTAATTCTAATATTAAAGTCTTAATAGAACTTAACCACAAATCCTAATGTCGAAATCTCCTCAAACAATATTTGTATATATTTAATATTTTATGCCCTAATTTTTATTTGTTCTCCCTTATGTCCCGTATTTGGTTTCAACCATACCTATACAATTATTTTATTGACAATTATAATCAATATTGACTATATTATCTTGCATTTGTAAACTTAGAATTACCTATTTAACCCGCACGGGTTTAGCTCAATGTTTTAGTGGGCAGTATTTGGGAGAAGAGACCAAGGTTTGAACCTCGGCGGCGGCAGTGCGGGAATTATGTCCAAAGTGGGCAGATTCCTTGTTCGCACCGGCATTTGGTCCTGTCTGCTGAACCATTGAGTCACCGTGATTTACAACTTCCCACAATGCTCTGTCGGGCCAGAGTGTGGGGGGGCCTTGGGGTTGGGGACTCAACCTTTGGGAGAAGAATTACCTATTTAAATACGCAAATTCAACCTTCAATTATCTATGCATGAACAATTTCAATACAATCTTGCCTTAATATACTTTAAAATACTTATTTTTTTAAAAAAAAAACATTGGGCATTATCCCAATCGCGCAATGCGCGTAAAAAACTAGTATATATATAATGGTTCAAATGAAGACATGTAAGGTTTCCCATGTGACCGGTGGCATGGGATTGCACCATTAGGTATGCATAAATGCACCACATAATGTTTGAAAATGTACCAGAATGGAATACACAAATGCACCACACACCAAAAAAAAAAAAATACACCATTATATATCAAACACTTTATAATGCATTTATGCGTAACTAATGATACATGACTGCACCAGATCGAATATATATATATATATATATATATATATATATATATATATATTGCCATTGCCCTTTTATTTTGCATGCAACAAAAACAACATAAGAAAAATGTTGAAAATGAACAAAATAACAAAAGAAAGAGACCAAGAATTCTTTAGGAATAATATCAGCTAAGGGCATGATTATTATGTATGTTGGACATTCATGAACCTGCAGAGAAACCCTTCAACAAATTGAACTTTGATTAGCTGACTTCCACCAAAAAAATGGAGGACAGTTGCAACTTTCCAAGGACAATATATATGTTATCGACTCACATTATTGGCTATTGCACATAATTGACTAATAGAGGACCAACAAACATGTTTCCAATATAATAATTCTTTAATTTACAAAAAAGCACGCGTCATTATCCAAATATACATATTGACTAAGTAAAATTCGTCTTGTGATCCTAACCGATAAATGATTACAAAGAGGTAAATCATACTAAATAATCCATAACTGGTTAACTTAAACTAAAAAGGCTAATACATAACTTTCACGTAAAGTTGAACTTGAAATCTTATGGTTATCAAGTCAACTTCTTAACTATCTTGAACAATGTAATATAATAATGCTTTTCTCCCAAAAGTTTGAATTCCCAACCCCAAGAACCTCAATACTCTGGCCCGATAAAACATTTAGGATAATGTAAATTACGGTGACTCAACTGTATTATTAAAATTAATTTTTTGATTATATATATAAGGTATAATACTATGAGAGCAAAATAAATTATCACTCATCATATTCTTTTGTACAAAAGATCTGTCTACTTTAAGCATAATTCAACACTCCAATTCAATATAATAATTCTCGTATATATACTCTCTTGTAAGATAGCTCCTAGACTCTACCTTCACGTGCCTTTATCATATTGCTATATATTTTATTTTATTTACCAATCACCCCACAATGCCCACATGCATCAATCCCTTATTCCCCCTTTTTACATTTTTTATAGGGAAAATGACACTTTTTCCCCCTTAGTTATATACTTATAACACTTTTTCCCCCTCAATTATTTAGGTAAGCACATTAGCCCCTTCAATTATTCTAAAAGTGGTTGTTTTTCTCCCTAATATATTAAATTGGCATTTATACCCTTAAAATAAACATTTTATTTATTTTACTTCTCCAACAAATTATTGCGTATACGTAGGGATGACTACGATTCGGTTCGAACTGAATCGGACACTATAGCAATCGAATTAAAAGTTTCCGGTTATGATTC